TGTGGATCAGAATAACTTGTAGTGCGAGCGTTATATGAATTTACCACTTGTCCATCGTATATTAACTTAGATCGATTTGAGTCGCGGCACGTTTGCATATTAGCAAAGGGAAATCATCCCATTTCATTTGCTTTTTGTTCCAACTCGTTATCACATTATGGAAGTATGTCCGGAATAATGGTAGCAAATGAATCGCTATGCCGTGGATTTGGCTTCGATTGAGGGGTGGCCATAGATATGGTATCGGATGGCATAATACTTGTCTCATTATCAAATTGCGAAATTGGGAGCAATTTAGTGCCATTTTTCAATCATTTTGCTCAGGATAGTGATTAGTTACTTGCTTCAGAGCTTATTTTCACATATTTTTCAACAGGCCATATGCTAGCCAACATGATACCTATAACAGTTTTTTTTTGGTGATTCCTCAACTCAGTTACACGGAGAAAAATTATTGTTACAGTAACCAGAATTTTAACCAGAATTCAAGTTAGTATAGGCACAACCAGATATATTGTTATTATAACTAATTGTATATGGTTAGCTCCAAATTGTTCTAATAGCTAATTATGTATTGTTATAATGACCTCATCGTGGCTTGGTCACCTTAACCAGATAAATATTGTGTTCCTAACAAGAATATATTGCTATCCTCACATTAATATATTGTAAACCAATTAGTATTTCTTCGTTAGAATAACGAGATTATATTGTTATCCTTACCAGATTGTTCTGTTATCTCAACAATATAATATTGATCTGGAGATCAGAATACCTTGTTATCCCAACTATATTATATTGTTATTATAAGTAGACTATCTTGTTACCATAACTAGAATACTTCGGTATACTAACAAGAATATCGTGTTATTCTAACTAGATGATATTGTTGTTCTAACTGAATGATATTGTTGTTCTAACTGAATGATATTGTTGTCCTAACTAGATTATTTTGCTGTCCTAACTGAATCGTATTTTTACCTTAACAATATAATATTGACGTACTTACCATATCACTTCGTCACAATCACTATATGATATTGTCACTTTAACTTCATCACATTGTTACTCCAACTATACAGGGTGTCCCGAAATTAGCCTGCCATACTTCACTAGCGGCTTCTACGACCAAAAATAGGAATGTGTCCTGAGGCCTTGAAAGGGGGCTCTTGAAAATAATATTGCTTGAATATTTCCGAAACACTATGTGATAAAATGATGCAATTCAGGACAAGAACTAAACTTCCCATGTCCAATGCAGTGAACATAAAATCATTCTGAAATTTCATTCGAGAGTGGTATAATACAGGGTAGGACTAAATTAAATATTGCTCAAACTTTTTTGTATACATACTTTTCGACAATGTGATCTTGGATTGTGAAAATCCACACGTCTTTACAGAAAGAACGTGCTCTTGTTCCGTATAATTTTTTTTGTGAATAGGTGTACAACATGTAGTAAAGTCCCTCGTAAATTCTTAAAAAAAACAGTTCTGCCTCCATACCCTTTTGAAGATGGATAGCTTGGCAGGTGCGAGTTTTTTTCCATGATTCGCTATAAGGATCCCTTTTAATTTGGAAAGTTTCCTCTGAGTTCAAGAAATTACCACATTTCTGGAATATCTTAATATATCCAAAATGAATTGATTCAATTTTCCACCATCACTTTCAACTATGTAATAAATGATTAATTTTTGTAGATGATTGTTAGATTTTTTTATAATAGAATGGGAATCAGAAAATAATGTCATTTAATTATTTTTTTGTATATTTATTCTGGAATATAAAATAAACTGAAAGCATTGAAACTCTTCTGTGATCTGTGGATAGATACAAACATTAAACATAAATAACAAATTGTTACCTAACTTTATAAAAATAAACAATATCACATGTAATCAAAACATTGAAACTCTTTCGTGAGAGGATGAAAACACTAAACATAAATAACAAAAATGTTGTACCTTATTTCAAAAAACAACGTCCTCCATGAACAATTCTTCCATACATGGTATATGTGAACATCATGGACCTTTCAACTTGAGAGAACATAAAAATAATAAAACACCATGTATTGTTATTATAGGTATTTAAAAATATAGGTGTTCGAGGTAATAAAAGATATGATTATCCTAATTTTTTTCGACTGATTCTGAAATGTGGAGACAGTCATTAACGCTTGATACAAATTATACACAATTTGAAAATTCAATCATCTTCTGACTGGTATTACAGTGATTCATTTTTGATGATAAAACAAAATATCAAAAATAAAAGAAATTATTCTCCTGGATAAATGAAATAATAGCGAAATTGTCATAAGTAATATCACCATATTATTATGTTCTAAATATTCAAGACTATTTCAGTCATCACTGAATCTGACCAATCACAAGCCTAAGACAACTTATGTTATCGGAAAACACTATAGGAGTCTTTCAATTCTGATTGGTCTATCAGCGTTGGTGTTTTCAACAATGGAACCATGGATAGGAAAGCATAAAATGATAACTCATTTATTATAAATGCTCTGTATGCTTCGTGAACGTGAAATTGTCTAGCAAAATACCACTCTATTATGAATATATTCTCATAATTCTGTCTCTCATCAATTAAATGGTGTTGCGTACAGCAATACATTTTCGTTAACAAGGGAGCAACAGAAAATTATCATAAGTAATATCACGATGTTCTGAATATTCAGGATAATTCTGCCGTTCCCTTGTTCACGAAAGCGTGTTGCCGAGCAACATGGTATTGCTGTACGACAACACAATTGAGTTAATAATGAAAGACAGAATTATGAGACGACATTCAGAACAGAGTGGTATATTGGTAGATTATTTCACGTTCACGAAGCATAAAAAGCATTTATTATTAATGAGTAATTATTTTATGAATAACTGGCAGACTCAGCATCGCTATCCATGGTAAGATCGTTGAAAATACCAACGCTGAAAGACCAACCAGAATTGAAAGACAGTTAGTGTTTTCGCAATAACACATGTTGTCTCTGGCTTGAGATTGGTCAGATTAAGTGATGAGTGAATTAGCCAATTTCCGCACCATGAAATCAGAACATATTTTTATCAACTACCAAGAATATTGATGTTCAGAAAACTCAATTGAATATGAAGATTAAATATTTGATTGAAAACCACTTCTACATCTAAGGATTCAGAGACTGTACTTGCAACTCACATATAAGCAACCTTTGGGACTAATATTTAGAAGGCAAGGAACACTGTTTGGTAATTCTTCCTGACTGATTATTTCTGTAAGTTCATCTACTTCTACCTCATAAGCATGAACATGGTCATTGAAACTCAAAGTCTTATACTTCACATATTCGAAATTTATTTGATTGTCAGATTCAGAAAAATAAATAGCTCTCACTTTACCAAATGTTGGTAGTGAATCTAAACGAATTAGGAATATATCGCCAATATTATATGAAATTCCTGCTATAGTCACCCATTTGACACTAGCAACATAAGTTTTAGGAATTGAAGTATCTGAACAATTGTTTATTTTACCATAAAGATTATCATCCTCAATGTAACGTATGTTACCATGACTCAAATCAGTAGAACTTTTATTGAATATTGTGAATTCGAAGCAAAGTTTCAATTGATGTTTGATAGCCAGTGTTAAACAGATATCCTTTTTTGAACAACTTATGACACTAGTTGATTTCAGATATTTATGTTTCGCTTCGAATCTCATCGACCAGGTGTTTATCAGAGGACCACACTTCAAAATAATGCTTGGATAATGTATCATATGATGATGTTTCGGTTTGAGGCTTTGTTTCAAAGTTATTGAATAAATATAATGGTGCTCAGAAATTAAAGTACGCAGATGATCAACATCGTCTTTTGTGAGAGAAATATTGAATATAATGTCACATATTTTTCGTAGAGTCAAGTACAAAGCCCAATAGTCATTATCTTCTGGTATGAGGTGTCCTATCATAACACTCAAAGTTAAAAGGAAAGAATGAGCTTCAGCGGCTGACATTTTCAAGGAATTTTTCTGTAGGTGATCAAGTCTTATAGGGGGAGGTTTATTGCTGACAAAATTTTCACCAAAATCGAAAGTATTAATAATGGAGTTCAACATTTCGAGTGAAAACAAAGACACCTCAAAAATGAAATATCGCAAAATAAGGCAAATATCAAAGTTACATACCCCTTCTAAAATGTCATGCATAATATCTACACTAAAATTTTCGGTGACATGAAAGTTTTCTATGTTATTGAATATACTAATTTCTTTTATACCTGTTGAGGAGACATTGTTCAGATTGATATCTTCATTATAATTGACTTTATTTCGTAGTGTACTTTCATCTTCATAAATTTGTGAATGTGTTATATGTTTGGGACTCTTACAAAACCTACAGAAATGGGTCGCAGAGAAGGATTCTACAAAACCAAGGATTGGGTTCAAACCTAAATTGTCCCCGATAATGAGCCCAATATCAAAGTATAATGTTTCCTTCGAAGATAGAATGATTCCATTTTTTTGTAAATAATTGATTTCATCTATTATTGGTGAAAATACCGAATTTCCATATTTTCTTCTGTCGCTTGTTTTAAACAATTGCACCAAGAAAATATTCTTGAGATTAGAGAGGTACTTCTTAGGAAGGCAGGGGACAGTAGCATATACTGCTCCTACTTTTTGATCACCTGCATGGGACCCTAAAGGATTCCCCGTTTCGAAATCATCAAAATAGATGAATATTGGCAAACAGAGTTTATTTTCATATTTTTTAAGCTTGTCTTTCCAATGGCTTCCTTGGACAAAATTTTCCAAATGATTATCTGTTGAGAGATTCTCAATATTTACAATGGTGTCATAATACACACCAGGCAATTCGAAAAATGCTTTCAATACCTTCCTCAGAGAAACAGTTATTGATTTATCAGTTTCTATTCTAACACTGGCTTTGCTTTGAGTAGAAATGAGTTGAACTTCTCGATTCAAAATAATCTCAGTTGGTTTAATATAAAAACCTGTACTTTGAAAGTGTTTTACTCTCTTGAATTCTGTTTCCAGACCTTCAAATGGATTGGATAATCGATGAAAAAAACTTTCAATGATTTCTCTCAGGCGTTGATTGTCAACAGGTATTATATAATCACGTAATAACGTCAAAATTTTACAGCTGAAAATATCGTTAACAGATTTTATTATGAACTGAATTTCACATCTTGGGATAAAATTTTTGATATAGAGGTTTGATAGAAACAAATCAATTTTTTCTTTGAATTCTCTAGCATGCTTTTCAATTTCATCAATTCTTTGTTCATAATCAATCGGATTGCTTAAAACATCAATATTCTCAGATGATGATTGTATTACTTCAGGTATGTGATTAGAAACAGATATATAACTTTTTTTTTTATTACTGATTGCAATTACTTCTTGTGGACAGTGACAACCAAGATGTTTTTTGAAAGATCGCAACGATGGAAATGTTCTGAAGCAATTTTGTCGAGTGCAGTGAAAGGGACCACAATTAGTACCATGAATATATCTAATGTGAGCTAAATATTTCTGCAATTTACTGAAAGTCTTCGAACATAAGAAACACTGCATAGTTCAAGTAGAAAAAAATGTTCAGTTCTCTTTCTGTTGAAGAAGATCAGAATACAACTGCTCAACAACAACGTGAGTCGTATCATAAGGTGTGCTTATTTCATAAACATACTTTTGGATGAACATCCATACATGATCACATTCAACAGGGTACTTCAAATTGATCACATGAAACAATTTGAATGCAACATCCACTGTTTTCAGTAAATTACCTACACTGAATTTCAGATTATTGAAATTGATAATTGGTTCCAATTTTGTCAAGTTTGACCCTACCAATATAATAACTGGTTGACATGATTGCTGCAAATTTGCATATTTACTATTTCTTCTCTCCAGAAAAGGTTGTAGCTCAGTGGCAGATTTGAGATGAACTATAAAGCTTTCTTGTACCTCAGCCCTCGATGGTCTCCATTGAACTCTTTTATTTTTCTTTGAATTATCTTCTTTATCTTGTTTTTGCTTTGGAGCTATAAGCTGAGTTTTGGCAAACAAATATGGCAATATGAGTAGCCCAAGTGCATGCATTTGTTCTGTAATTGAATTTGTATTGATCATTTGAAAAAATATAATGAAGATTTAGCAACTCTTACCATCATTTTCACAGGTTTCGTTTTCTTCTAAAAGTTGTTTCACAGTGGGATCACGACTGCCTTTTGCATAATCTCTGATCAATTCCAATAACTCTGGGAGATGGTAGAACAGTTTATTCTCATATTCTTTATAATTTTTTTTGAAATCCAACTCAATCTGCAAATGAATATGGCACGTTCATTACCAAAATACTTCATAATAATAATTCATTGAACTAACCAAGGTATATCCAAGAGGTTGTTTAAGGGCAAGAAATTTATCAAAGTAGGCTTGTGCGTCTATGTCTGATTTCAAAATTGCCTGCCTTGATTCAAATGTCATTTCCCATTTTGCAATGACATCGGTCCATGGTTCAATACAATTTTGTAACCATTGGATCAACTCTTCTTGTTCTTGTTGCTTATCTTCAGTCACTAGAAATATGAGAGAAGATTCATAATTTGTCTCATGGGAAAATACATGCAGTTGAAAATCTGGGGAATTATCAACTTGGCGATTTGATGAGTTGGCTGAATTTTATATATGTTTCAATCTCTCGAAATATTAAAGCAAAATTCTACCAGTTATACAAAATTTCTTATTTCTGTAACCTTTTTGGAATTTGATTCATTTTCTGATGTGGAATTGATGGAATAATATAACTCTAAAATCGGTCGAAAACTATAAGAGGTAAGAATGCCTTGAAATATTACTTGAATATGAACATTGGGGACTAATAACAAAATATTCAAATCGAAAAGTTCAAATGAGTAAAAAATCTTGTTGAAAAATGAAGGTTTTATAGAACTCACCCTCAGTTCTATTTTCATGATCGAGATCTCTTTGTTTAGTCTTCTTGGATTTCAGAATTCCTGTACTTCTCAGATTTCTTCGAAGGTTATGATACTTGTCATATAATTTACCTCTGGCACATTTCCGTACACGCCCGCTAGAGTCAGTTTGATAGGGACTGTAGTATGTTGCAATATTCTCAGTTGGAAATAGTTGTTTTATTGATCTAGCTAATTGGACAAATCTTGAAGTGGGAATACTACAAAACATATTATTTGAGAGCTGCAAATTGTACACAGATGTATATAATATACAGGGTGATCCATGGTAGATGGCCTATTAGAAGTATCTGGAGAACGAAAAAACAGAACATTCTGAAAATTGGGATGCTTTGATAATTGCACATTCTCTATCCCTCTAAAATATTTTCATGGATACAGTGTTGCCACTTCTATCAGAAACAACTAGCAACTTCGTTATTTTAAATGGAGCACCATGTATTTTATTGCATTTTCAGATTCTTCCTGCAATGCATCACACTTGGGGTCTAGGAGGAATGATTACAGAGATATAGGGTGTTCAAAATCGAGATTTTCCAATTTTAGGATTTTTTTGTGTCGAAACTATTCTTTATCGATCAAAACGGCTTACATGTCCCTATCTTTACTTTTGATTCACTACCTACTGGAATTTAATTGGAACAGATACAGGGTGATCAGAATTCTGAATCTTGAAGCACCCTGTATTTTTTCCAATTAAATTCCAGTAAGTAGTGAATCAAAAGTAAAGATAGGGACATGTAAGCCGTTTTGATCGATAAAGAATAGTTTCGACACAAAAAAATCCTAAAATTGAAAAATCTCGATTTTGAACACCCTATATCTCTGTGATCATTCCTGCTAGACCCCAAGTGTGATGCATTGATGGAATCAGCTCTTCAGGAAGAATCTAAAAAAGCAATAAACTAGAGGGTGTTCCATTTGAAATAACAAAGTTGCTAGTTGTTTCTGATAGAAGTGGCAACACTGTATCGATGAAAATATTTTAGACGGATAGAGAATGTTCAATTATCAAAGCATCCCAATTTTCAGAATGTTCTGTTTTTTCGTTCTCCAGATACTTCTAATAGGCCATCCACCGGGGATCACCCTGTATACATAGAATATATGTATACAGTTTTTTCAATCACCTTTTCGAATCATCATTGTGGAATTCGTTCTTTATTAGAATATTTGTTAGTTTATTCCTGATGACTGGTGTAAATTGTCCCTTGCATCTTAATACCGCCCTACCATCAGCAGAACCTTCAAGGAATTCTTGCAAATTCTGAAAAATGAAAATAAGGTACCAATTCTCCTGTACGTAGGTACACATTAAATTGAAAATACTCACAAAATCACAGGTCAACGACTCCGGTTTATCCGAGGGTTTATCCAATGTTTCCTCCACACATAATGCATTTTGTGGTTTCGGTGGAATATGGATAGTTTCTGTAAAAGAAAATAAATTCCAGCCTGACAAACTTATGATAACATAAAAAACGTGGTGAAATGCGAAATAATTTTCAAAATTACCTACTCATTCATTCATATACTTATCTATAACTGGTGAACAATATCTAAATCAAAATTTTGAACAACTATTCTCTCTTGAGCTCTTGAAATCAATAAATACCTAATTCAGATAATACCTACAAAATTCCTACCTAGTTGTTTATCTTGCAAAAAATCCTCATATTCTATGCCACCTACTGATGTGCTACATGAGGACGTAGAAGGGGTTCCTTCTTCAACATCGGATTCTCTAAGAAGAGATGAAATGTTTGATATGTCAAAAAGGACTGGCTGCCTTGATGCCTGTTCGGTAGCCTGAAATGCCTGGTAATGACGGGTGAATTTGATTCGGTCTCCAATTTTTGGTATCAGATCTTTGATAACCTCTTCGGTGAGATAATTGAAGGCCTCCTCATCTATTCCCTGCTCTGAAATTTTAAGCAAACACTAAGAAAGTATTATTGAAGCTCTTCTTATATTCGTCTCATCTTTGCGCCCAAGGCAACCGCGTTCAAATTATTGTAAACCAAATTGTGTTTTCGCAAGAAATTCTGAAGAATTCTTAAGAATACCAAAGAAGTTAGAGGGATATCGAAAGGTTTTCCCGAGGGTTTTCCGGATATTCAAGGATCCTGATCATTTCCAAATTAGCAATGAAATGAACTGAACTAGGCTAGGTCTCCGTCAAGCTACAACTTAGCAAGGAATTTCAATGAATTGATAGGAATTCATGAGAATTTCAGGAAATTCAAAAAGTTTCCAGTTATGTGTACACAATAATTCCATGCGTTTTATAGAGTAGGCCCTGGTTTTACCCCCTCGAGGTAGACCACGTACAAAATTGTGTACACCGACTACACCTTCACAAGAAATTGAAATTTTATAGATAAGTTTTTTTGCTGAAAAAGACTATCATCATAAAAACTCGACCCAGCGATGTCATCCAGTATATTATTGGGAGTTTATCTCGATATATCGAATAATTTATCGAATATTTGATAATATAATATACAGGGTGTTTCAGAAAAACCTGTACCTTATCCTAACAAAGTTGAATTTATTCAGGTTTCTGTAGTCAAGTCCTGTTTATAAATCTGTTCAGTACATAAATCTTCAGGAGGCTCAATAGCCAATGGAGTAAGATGCGTGCCTGATGAGCCAAAGGTCCCGGCTTCAATCCGTACTCGACCTACTTTTTTTTTCTCTTTTGTCGAAGGGATGTCCTTGGGATATCCTTGGGACGTCCTAGGGATATCCTTTCTTCGTACTTGGTACATCCCAGGGACGTACCAGAAGGACATCCCTAGGATGCCTCTTTTTGTGGAAAGCGGATTACCCTGGGACGTCCCTAGTACCATGTCCCGACACAGGATATCCCAGGGACGTCCTCGTAGAAAATGAAGGACGTCCCTGGGACGTACTCGTGTTGTTAGCGGTTAGGGGAGTAGATATTCATTCACTCAATCAATCAAGATACCATTTTCCGAGCCATTTTCATTGTGATACCAACCTAGATCATGTTAACTATGTTAAATTGTTATCCCTATACCTACTATAAGAACCCTAGTAATAAGGTACCTATCTACTCAATTTTAACAATATCGTATTGTCATCCAAGCGATATTTTACAGCTAGCAAACAGAATATGAGAATATAGGTACCTACCTACCTACCTATCATTTTCAACATATTATTCCTTTCAATACATAGAGATAGAAAATGAAATAAACTTACCTTCGAAAATTTGCACAAGGTGATCCAATGACCAGGTTTTCAATAAAAACTCGACAGAACTCACCATTGCTTGAGACATAGGTACGCCATACAGTGACTTGATTGAATTGAATAACACGATTCCACTTCACAGTTCACAGTGATGAAAATATCAAATTGAAACAATGAAAAAACCATAAACAAGTAGGTATCAACCTTGGCCCTTGGCGTAATTTTTCCGCTCGTCGTCTCGACTATTCGCAACCCCTCGAGTGAGTGGAATATGCGCGGATGATATAAGTGGGGCGATGACGCGATAATGGTCGTTTTGATTGGCTGCCTAATCTTGTAAAATGAGTCGATAACCATATGCCCTGGCTACTGGAACAATTCATGTAACAACATTATATGGTTAGGATAGATTTTGGCGGCAATTGGTGAGGGTTACCATATAATATGGTTATACCAACTATATCAGTGACAATATCATATAGTTAGGATAAGTTTTGACGCTTACGAATATTTCTAGTGAGGATCACAATAAATTATGGTTACTCTAACTATATCGAGCTAACTATATGAATTATGTGTCCATGACAATGTCATATCTGAAGGCCACGTCATGATAACTGAATATCTGGTTACGTTAACCATAATATTCCTAACATTATATTTCAGTTAGAATTCACTACCATAATTCTTTCCGTGTAGATTGAAAATGCAGTGGTATGATGGAAATCGCAGTATACCAAACATCTCTAGGCAAGAGTGTTTGCCATGGAATGCTTTTTTTGAGGTTTTATTCCTTTTCATGGCAAAATTGACAAAACTAACGATGTGCATCTAGGTTCAACATAAATGAAGCATCACATATATCATTCACTTATAGCTCTCACAGTATAGTCAGTGAAAGTAATGAGCCATCATTATCACAAATATTAAATCAATAATACATCTAACATCTGGTCATCCACATTTAACGGCTTAGGTAGGCAATTTGAAAATCAGCTGATCACAACAAATCCTTCCTAAAAGTGTGAAACAATTGGGCATCCATGTTTTTTTGCCAACTCAAATCGGAAACGCGGGTTGCCCAATTCGAAAGTTACTAATCTTCATAACCGCGCCATTTGCTGTACACTATTATGTTTATTTGATCCAAAAGAAGCATCTTAGGAAAAATGTTTATTTGGGGGTTCAAAAAACCAAAATTCAAAAATGTTTCTTAAAATTATTTTGGGCTTGGAACCCTTGTGAACTATGTTGCCAATTATATAGTTTCTTTTCTCCGCCTACCTAGCAAGCCTGATGATGACTCCTAGGAGTCGAAACATGTAGCATAATATGATTTGATTATAATTTACTTGGAGCGAGACTTTGAGTTTGTTCTCTTAATTATCTCATCACCTCCAATTTGAGCATGGACTACTACCAGAGAGTTACTAATCTACTTCGTAGTGCAGTATTGGCAAGACTTATTCACCAAGTATGAGGTCACTCATTATTTGAGTAGTGTGCTCAAGTCACAATAGTAACCGACGGAGAACATACTTTTTATACATGTATGAAGAAACTCATTGCAAATTCAACGGTATTTGACCTTGAACAAGAAATATTTTGCATAAGGGCGACAACTACCTTGGATTCGACCCTGTTTATATAGCGCTGTTCTGTCAGAGCAGAACCGGCCGCAAGAAAACTTCCTTTCCGGATCATCTACGCCAGAAAGAGTGGAAAAACAGGAAAAAAATTATCGACAAATACTAAAGAAGTCAACGATCCCGTCCCTTCATGTGAGCCCCAAGATATCCGGCCAAGAAATCTGGGACAAAGCTCCCATTTGTGAAAGGCCAGAGGTTTTCACATCCCAACTTTATTATTCAGCACTTGGGCTAGAAACGATTACGAATATTCGGTTGTAATACTATAAGTACTCCAAAATATACGCATAATTACTTACAATTAAAGAGTGTCAGTTTGACAGTTGAAATGCTGTGCCACTGTGCCTTTCAACTTTTTTCCACTGACTATTCCACTCTTGATCTCGAGAACCAATCAGAATCGACCATTTTCATGGTTTCTTCTGTATTCTAGCGATATTTTTTGTTTATTAAATTTTATCGGACTTGCTCTACCAATACAGAAGCCGAATTGACCCACACGTGACCAACTAACCTCGTTTATCAGCGATAAAATTTTGACATCGTGTCTGGTCAAGATTGCTTTGGATTCAAATCTTAGACAATATCCTAAGTTTCTACTTTATTTTATTTACTTATAATTCGCGTTAGTGAGATATTTTGTACGAAAGGCGAGACATTTTTATTCTGGCTGGACGTTTCATGTGTAATTTAAAAAGTTTGCATATTTGTTGACGGTCTGACACAACAATAATAGAATTCAAATTCCTTTTTGAAGTAATCTTCTTCAATTACTCAAGTTATTGTGACTGACTGATATAATTACTAGCTGATGTAGCGCAACTGTTATGGTTGTTGCGCGGGGATACGAAGGTCGATGGTTCGAGCCCTCGGCGACGATATATATTTTTTTAATTATTCCATGTCACATAAATTCAATTTATTTTGTTTGAGTTGGATAGTCATTGTATACACTCTTTCGAGAGCAACCATCTCCAAGATAATAAAAAAAACACTGTTTATCAAAATTTTACATTCCACTTTGTGAATAACTATAAGTAGGTAGTTAATTTCTAAAAAAGTAAATTCTGTATTTCATTACTATCATTATGTTCTTCTTCGCAGTTCGAGTTGGAATATACTTAAATTATGTTTCCTATTTCTTATATATATTGTCTCATTCAATCATGAAATAGTCATACGAATACAACTCGTGATACTATTTTTCCTGGAAATATTCGTCGATTGACATACTCCAGCTTGCTGCTCTGATTTCGCTCATGACATTGATCCAAAACTACTCGCCCACGTCTCGTAGTTTTGATAACAATGTCATTCACGAAATTACTAGGCAACAAGCTGTCGTAACAATCACCGAATATTGCCGGCAAAATATTATCACTTGTGGTATTATATATGAGAATTTATGTGCACGTATATAAAGTGTTTTATAATGCAACTCGATTGTATGATATGAAATATTTTTCATACAACATTATACAAATTCAATAAGACAAGCTTTAGTAACTGTTTTATAATGTTGTATCTACTAGCTATATAGTTTCATGGAACTCTTTTACAATAGGTATACAAGTCCTATAAAATTTTTGATATTGTATAAATATGCTTCTTCTTCTTCGAAGCATTGGTGGGCGGGTGAACACACCTGTTCCGACATTCAGCTGGGTATGCCGACTTCCTTGGAGAAGTTCAGCAGCTTCCTCAGCTGAATCTCTTTCACGTCCTCTGGCCTCAAAATTATGTTTCCAAGGACAGCCTCCACTTGCTGCACTCAAGTCCTACTCATGTGGGTTTTTCTAAATGTTGTTAACTTCCTGGTTTTTCACCTCATGAAAACCCCCTGAGGGTATCTTGGAGGGTACAGACCCTCTTGAAATAAAAATACCTGTTTCATATTTCAATAATAATTTATCATGTTTACTATTTGATTCTATAAGATTTCACAACACAACATTTTTCCATCCTCATGACGTTATAAACCTTGGCTGATGATGTGCTCATTATAAACTCAAAACATGTCCCTTCCATTTGTAACATAACTAAGTTCAACTATTGAATGTCGTGGAGATGATTTTGAGATTAACTCTTCCTTCAAATATAGGTGTATTGAAAACATGAATTAATTTGCTCATCTTTCGACGTTTCACTATGTTTGTACGACAATAAAATTATATGAGTAATTATTTGTTTGCTTACATTGAAACGAATAAATCAATATCTGTGAAATATTTAATGATTAAATTATTGAAAACGTTAATATGTATTCCTCAATTCATTTGGAAAAGATCTCTTAGATCAAGTCTTAAGGCGGATTCATGCAACATTCATTATAATTACATTTTCACTACATTGAAATTACATTTTCACTAGCTGCGGGCTACCCGGTCATGCAATGGTCATGCAACGCATGCTCATAATGAACTAATTATTCGAGGTTATGTGATCTGCTTGGATTTTACTAATGTTTACAGGATATTTGAGAATATGGATTTATTTTGAATATAATATCTGTGGTGAATCACAAATAGTTTTGTGGAAAAAATGATCATTCAATGATCTAATCTTGCATATCAGTCGTTTTCACTAGAACTATAATGTAATTATAATGAAAAGTTAGAAGTTGGTCAACTTCTTAGTGCACTAATGTGATGAAAATGTAATGAAAATGTGTTAATGTGTTGCATGAACGCATTCTATGACATAGGAGTTCTCAACATTCTTAATTTATAATGTAATGAAAATGTAATCATAATGTCTGTTGCATGAATCGGCCTTTAGACATATACATGAAAGCAGAATCCATGAGTAAGTGGGTATAGTAATTTTCAAAAAAAGTGCGCTTCACAAATACTTCCTCGAATGGAGAAAATTATATTGTTAATTGAATTTAGATTATTATGAAAAAATCAAGGTCTTCAAATAATTCAAAATGTTCCTTTCATTTCAAAATCACGTGAGATCAATTGCTAGAAGTGCATCCCAAAAACTTGGTTTTCTGTTTCGGGCCAGGAGCTATTTCACTTCCAGTCAGCTGATTATGATCTATAAGACACAGATCCGACCTGTCCTGGAATACTGTTCCCATATTGGAAGTGCAGCACCCAAAACTACCCTGAAACTGTTGGATTCTGTCCAAAAAAGGGCAAATCGTCTCGTGGGTGATGCCTCGCTCACAAACTCACTCACTTCTCTGGAACACCGAGGAAAAGTTGGCGATCTGGCTCTATTTTCATGGACGATGTTCTTCTGAAATATAAACAATTGTTCCTCCCTTGGCAGTCCCCGCGAGATTAACTCGTTGAGTTGAGGCTTCGCACCCCTTCGTGGTCACTTTGGAGACCTGCAGAACATCTCTCTCCAAAGACTCGTTCATCCATCGAACAGCGAGGCTCTGGAACACATTGCCAAGGGAGGTGTTTCCCGAGGCATATAACCTCCAGAAATTTAAGAAGAACACCAATTCCCACCTCATTTCCCACGATGTTCTCTGATCATTACAGGATATCCCTTTTCGTGGGAACCAGAACATAAAAAAAACTGAAATGATGGTAATAACATAAATCAACTTTTCATCACTTTCAACCAGAACATCTGTATAGTAACCTGTTATTTGCATATATTTGTCCATATTACTCGTTCGGTTCACCGTTCACTTTGCCTTAGAAGAAACTGTGAAAACAAGACTTATGTTCACATTCTTTTATTTT